TTTGTAGCGCACACAAAACGTGCTCGCTCGAAATTGGCGGATGCTCTAGGCAGTTATGCTAGTTGCGATCGGAATCCGTGCGCGGAATAAATTTTCTTATTGATCTTATTGCATTCATTGCTTTTGAAGAATAAATGTGGAACCGAGATGTGCAGATTCTTAATATTTTCGAGCAAAATAACGGGTTCTTATGCAAGCATTATATTTCTCTGTCTTACAGCGAGCTGACCAAGAATTCTTTAAAAAGCTTCTACGAATTGCGCAACCTGAAAAGCATATATATATGGTATCTTTTTAAAAAATACGGCGCGCTTAAAAATATAAACCTATATTTTGAAATCTTTTACAATATAAAAACATATGTAATTGTAAAATATGTAAATCAAATGTAACGCAGCAAAATATGATTTAAAAGACAATTCTGATTATACGTGCATTAGAATTTATTTCAACTCTTTGAAATTTAAAATAGAAATATTCCAAATATGCTAATTAAACAAGTTGTATGACGAGTTAAATGAAATCGAAATCAAAGTTATGTCGAATTGTTGCGTTCGTCCTTCCTCGCAAGCGATGCGTACTTGCGTGGGAAATGACTGTGGAGCCGATTGCATTTTGAACGATGACACTAACCCTGACCTTCTTCCTTTCAGAGGAGCTTAAAAAACGAGAACGTCCAATGTGAGACTCGCTATTTGCTGTTTACCGACCTCGTTTCATATAAATCGCACTATTCTTCCTTTAGAAATATGCTTGAGTGTTATCATTATTGCGACTCGAGCTTTCGAAGCAACTCAATCGCTGTGCGAGTCGTTGAGTTTTCTTCGTGTATAGACGTTTCCTTGAGAAAAAATACTTTATGGAAAGAAATGGTGTGAATGCAACATATTTTTAAATTACAAGTTATAACAATTTTTCTTTACACAGATACAAGCGTAGGTGCCATAAATTAGTCTCCTTATTTATCTTCTTTCTCGAGAGCGTGTTTTGTATTATATTATGCGAACATTGCCGATTGCATTATTACAATCTTTATGCGTCTGCAGTCCAATATTGAAGAAAAAAAGATATTGTGAAATTTTCTTTAAAATAGACTTTTCTTTACCACTTGTCTCATTTTTCGACTAAATCCTCCAATTTCTTTCTCATTCATCTTTATATAAGAATCCAAGAACCTACCTACGCTAACCGCGCTCGTGTGTGTCGTCCGCACGCGTGTGCGAGGTAACATTTTTATGCGTGAGCACAATCTCATGCGACTACGTCCAATTTCCAAAGTTACGTGGAAGAATTACAAAAGAAGTTCCGCGAGAGTTCAATATTTCCGTAGCCGCGCGCTCGGGGCAGTTCGCAGATTCGTGATAGTTTTTGTTGAACTCGTGCGCGTGCGACCGTAAATAAGAAAGCTTGCGCGGCCCCTTCAAATATTAAGTCGTGTGTCGACACTTCATTTCCGGGCGATCGAACGACGTCCCCCTCCTCCCCCCATGGGGAATCTGGAAAGTGACGGGAAGGATATTTCGACGATCTTTTATATCCCCGCGCGCTTACCGAAAAGCACCGTACACTCGGATTTGCTTTTTCGGAGTCGATGGTAAAATTCTGTAAGGCCCGTAAAGTTGCGCGCGCGCTCGCAATCCCCGCGGTATAGATGCGGGAAACGGGCGAGCTCGCGCGAGTTTGAATCGCGAAACTGGAAGCCAATTTGCGAAATGAGAAAAGGCGCCGCGGAAACATTACCTTTGTGAGGATATATATACACGCGCCTCAGCTTCTCCGTTGGTATCCCGCCAGCGGCTGCGCAACTCTGTGCTACGTTGAATTTATTGGTTCTCGATGGCTGTGTGGTGTGGCCACGTTAACGTTCGCTTATTGAAGCCGCTATTGACTCGCCAATAACGAAACCGCCGCCGCTTTAACAAAAATTCGGTCACGACGGCTATTCAACTTTCATTTTGACATAGCTCAGTCGAGCAGCTGTTCTCCCGCTTCAATCAATTTCGCTCGAAATTAAAAGTGTACGAGATAATATAATTTCATCTGACAATATTAGATATCGAAATATATCACATCAATTGTTTCCTCGTATATATGTATATATATATATAATTAATTAACGTTATTATTTTTACGCGACCGTTTACGGACGAGCGAATGTAAAATTTGAAATTATACGAACGCAATCAAACGCACGAGAAACAGATTCTAGCTCTCGTCGCAAACACATGCGTTCGACCTCAGCCATTATTCAACAAATTCGTGAAATGCGGTTTCGCTGATTTTTTTTTTTTTAATTCACCGACGATCATTTTCACACGGCGCGTGGTAACTGACGTTTTAATTAAACTTGCGGAAACGTCATTTTTCGACGAAAATTGACCGTTAATAAAATTTCGCCAGCGTTTGCGGTTATAATATCAGCTATTCATTTTGCCTAAATTTGTTCATTTAAAATTGTTTTAATTAAAGGTATAATGGAGGAATTCTCGAACGAAACTTCCCGAATGTCGAGTTCCACGAATGAGCGAGCCAGAAAAACGCAAGTCATTATTTGTCACAAGAGCCTACGCGTCGGAATCTTGTCGAGTCTGTCGCATCGGAATTGATATTGCGTTATCGACGTGCATTTTCTCTCATTATTCAAATTTGTTTCATTTGCTGACAGATAGGAACAACCAAGCGAGAAAGTGAAGAGCGCGGAATCGTTATCTCTGCAGGATCTCGAATAAATACATATAAAGGCAAATGGATCGCAATAATACCGTCATCGCTGCGATCTCTCGCGTTACATAAAGTTAGATGATACTCTTCATATTCAGGCCATGAGCTTACACAAGATCACGTAAAAGAAGTTCCGCTTCTTATGCCGTCACAATATAAGAACAATAAGCGTCATAATGGGATATCGCGGGGCAAACAAGAAAAGTTTCGTACAGCTATAAAACCGCCTATAATGTACAAGCCTCCCCTGATCTCTTTAAGGTGTCACGTGTGTGTAAAAAAAAGGAGAATTATTGCAATCAAATGTAATTGTATACACGTATAGTGGAAAGGCAACATTTATCCGATTTAATATTGAAATATATAATTTCTCATGGGACATTGAAAATAATTATTTCTATAATAATAATTATTATTCTCGCGTTTTCGAGATACACGACAATTACGGCGCGAGCATAAACTCTCTCTTTCAACATTCGACGATGATAAACAAAATTGTAATCAAGCACGCATATTTGAGCGACAGCAAGCGTGCAGTAGTCGTTATATTAATATCAAATGCACGCGACATTTAATACGTTTGTTTTAATGCACAACTCTACCTGCAAATCCCTTCAAAATCCCACGCCACTCGTGTCCGCGCTAATTGTACAAACCGCCGGCGTTTGCAGTTACGAAGTGTCGCAACCGCTGTCTTGATGGACCTAACGTCGGGATTTGGGAACGCCAACCTGTTACTCAAATTGCACTCGGAGGCTTCCAATTTAACGGGGGGAAATTAACGGGTTTCAAGCGAAATCAGGCGCGCTCGATCGCGCGTCATTAAGAATGGCGTAAAATACGCGGCGCGCGACGCAGCTGGTGCGGCGTGATCCCCAGCTGAAGGACGACTGGCGCCGAGCCGAGCCTCCGAGAGTTCAACCCCGGCTCGCTTGTTACGCGTGTAACTTAATTACGTATCGTATACTCGCGCGCGCAGAGCCGAGACTGACACGAAACAAATCTCTCGCTCTAATCTGCGACAACCGGGGCAACCTGTTACTTAGCACGGAACTCGCCAACTTATATCATATCAAGTTGGCGCGGCCCGAGACCGACCGCGATAACCGCACCAAGCGTCATCCATCGCTCTCGTCATCTATCACCTCATTAACTCTGTTCGCCAGAAAACAAACAGCTGCATTTCGCAGCAAATCAATCGATTATCGAACACTGACCGCCATGGCACGAAATCCCGATTTACTGTCGTCAATGTATCAGTTGGTTGCAGTACCTACTTGCAGTTAATTGGAACGTGACATCTAAAATTTGACTAAAAGCACATTTACGATTACAGAATTTATTTTTTCTTATTTTATTCATTTTTTCAATTCCATATTCTATAAATTAAAGATTACAAAATTACGAACAATTATCTATAGATTCATTAACTTTCTCGATTCTTTGTTCTTTTGTTACAAATAAATATATTTTATACTTATATATGAGAATAAAGAAACAAGAATTAAATTTATAAATAACGTCATAGATAACATATGATGTTTATCATGATGTGCTGTGTTCAGGACTTAAATACATTATTTTCTCTTTTCGAAATGTGCTAAAATTTACAAAATGGCCGTCAGGGTTAAAAGATATATTTTAGACGAACAAATGATCGGGCTTCTTACTCGAAATTAACGTTCTTCCGGACCGGAAGATCGCCAATGATCGCCAATGGCGGTATACTCTCGAACATATCATTTTCTGATTTGATCTCACATAAAATCTATATACCATCGTAAGCTGTAACGAGTTCGTACCTGAATATTGATCACCGAAAGTCCTACGTGCCTCGCCACCTTTACACAGATTATATGCACTATCTCTCGTCACTCTCAAATCTTGCACGCGTCTTGTCTCCACCTGATGACGGTTCGTAAGTCAATTAGCGTGGAAAAGTGACTGACGAAAGCGTGATCTGAGCGAAAGCTTGCATTTTGGACACTTTATCATCCCTCATATGTCACGTATATACTTCCCTCGGATATATAGGTATTTCCGAATCATGCCCTCATCCCCAACTCGTTATTTGGCTACGTTCTTGATTCCTAATCCTCTCCCTAAGTATGTATCCTCAAATCAACCGTCGAAAGCAGAGTGGCAGTATAATTAAATCGCTTCGCCGTACACAGGATGCACATACCCCTCCTCTTCCCTCCCCCCCCCCTCCCCCGCATATCTCCGCACAGATCGATCGCGATCGCTCGCTTCTAAAGACGTTGCTATACAACACCAACCTGTTACTTGTCGGCAGCACGGGAGCTTCCAAGAGGAGGGTAGGAGTGCGTGTACGATCCCTCGAGCGCGCTCTTCGGCTCCCTTTATTCGCACGGATGCACGTGCTCTCCGGTATTGTCTTGACACAGGTATAGCGCGGGCCACTTTTTCCTCCCCCGATAAGACACGACCCGACAAACGTGCACGCCGGAAGCGCGCGTGCCGGAAGAGAAGCGGAGAGAGAGAGAGATAGAGGGAGAAAGAGAGAGAGAGAGAAGAGAGAGAGAGAGAGGAGGAAGCCAACGTCCTTAACAAGCAATGTCAAGCTCAGCTTGCGCGTGCAGAGGAAAAAAAAAGAGACAAATTACCGCGACACCCCCAACAGAGCGACCGTATCGTCGGGCAGGCAGCCCGGCTTGCACTGCCCGGGTCTACCGTTTCTCCCACCGAAGAACACCACCGCCACCACTATACCTCACGCTCCCCCTGTCCCTACCCCTCCCACCCACCCTCTTTTCCACCTTCCTGTCAGTGTGCCGCGACAACCCCCTGCACCAGCCACGTTCTACAGCGAACGAACGCGTCCTCCCCCGAAAAAGCTCACCTCTCAACCCCACCTGACGCCACTCCGTTCGCTCTTTCTCTCTCTCTCTCTTCCCTTCGCGCCCCTCGCCCTAGAGCTCCCCTCAACGAGCAGCTCAGGGCGCAAGCTCGCGCCCCTTACCCTCTTCGACGGTTATAGGGGCAAGAAGCCTTCGCCTCGCACGACCGGCCGATGCAGGACGAAGGACAAGACGAAGACACCGCGGGGGACGAGCGTGCATGCGTCGTCGACGCGTATACGTCGATCTCGACTACTGCATAATCGCCTCGCATCCGGTCCTGAGAGAATCGTAATAGGTATATCATCACCGTTGATCTGACGCGGTGGTGAATGAATATGATGTTCGCCGTCAGCTCGATAGGAAGAACGCGGGAAGAGAAGTCGACACTTTCACACAAGAGAGAACGGGGGAGGAGGGGGGGGAGGGGAAGGGGGAAGAAGGAAAGAAGCAAATAAAGGCAAATCTCTTTACATATCTATTTTGAACTGTGAATTGTCGTCGTAAAAGTTTCTTGCGCTTGAATTTTCTTCTTGGAAATAAATACTTGAATATGACAAATTTAGATCTAGTATAGCTACACGTTGCAATATCTTTCTTTGGTATAACAAATTTTTTTAATATTAAAATATGTGTTGTAAGTAATGTTGTCATGTGGTTAATTGTAACTTCTAATGGTTGTCTGCCGCTAATATGGACTTCTACAATTAAAATTCTGTTTATCTCAACGAATGTGTTTCGCGTACTTGCGTATTCGCGACCGTTGGCCGATTTTAAGCGATTAACCACACGCAGAGGGGTGTTCGCTGAGGGATGAGCGAGGAATATAGGGTGGTGAGGATATAAATCTGCGTTATCACTTAATCCGAGGATCGGGAATATGGAATGATACCGAGTTGCAGCGGAATACGCAAATAGACGCGACGTGCATACGTAAAGCGGAAACGAATCGAAGTGCGAAATTTTGACAGCGTTGCGTTGGCGCGCCGAATCATATACGCAAATATATTATTGCCGAAGATGTTATATGCGAGTCGCGTATCTGAATAAACAACGCAGCTTCGTCGTCGATATGTTTAATCGGGAACGCTGGAAATCGCGAGTTGCCTCGTTGAATCTTAACTTTGTTCACGATTAATTGCGACATGTCGTACTCGCGTTACATAATTCGAAACGGGAAAACGTAATGCCCTTAAAGCGCATATCGTATCGCTCGTAAATATCTCTTCAGGGCGTAATTCCATCGAGATAAATCTGTTGCTGCGCAACGCGAGCGTACGCGGAAAACTGCATATTCCAGAGAACAAAGATAAGCGCCTAAAGAAAAAACGTGTATCAGACCGATAAACGTATCAGTAAAAAAAAAATATCCTCCTGTCGGACCGATTAGCTCGTATCGAGAGCAAGCTTCGCGTTGAAAAACTTTGGCGAGACTCTCTTCCGACTACTTTCAGCTGACAGCTTTAGTATGTAGAAAATTGAATTCTTTAAAATTCTTTGAGCTTCAAGAAACTATCGCTTTGATATTTTAGCAAAGGACAAATTGGACTCGAAATTGACTTTGAATATATCAAGGAATTCCATTCCTGAGGTAAGACGCGAGGTATTCCCTATATATGTGCTCCACGTGTTCGCGACACCCTCATTAGCCACGTGAAGACCGCAGGAGGAGAGCCCTGCGGAGTGGGTCCTGACAAGACGTCACACGAGCGTCACTATCTGATCGATTTCGCGCGCGCGGGAGAGAGAGAGAGAGAGAGGAAGTTTCCTGGCGATGGCTCAGGTCGGGCTCGTGGCCTCTCCCCTGTGTCCCTGCCCCTCCGTTCATCCTGCGGAGCCCCTTTCGTTCCTTCCGTCGCTGCGGACTGTCCGACGAGGGGGTGCGACGAGGGTATTTCGCGATGCGCAGGCGACGAACAGCGCGCGCGTTTCGGGACACCTCGGTTTATTATACGTCGAGGGTGTCGGAATAGAGTTCCGGCACGAGGGAGGGCACGAGAGAGAGAGAGAGAGAGAGAGAGAGAGAGAGAGAGAAGGGGTGGGTAAAACAGGATAGAATGCTTCGACGTGTCGAACAGTGCGGAAAGTTGCGCGATGGAGATCTAGATGAGGTTGAGAAAGCGTCTCGTGATAAAACTAGATTTCTGAAGACGGCGCTTGTTACCTATTTGGAATAGAGGATAGAGCAAAAGTGTAATATACCCTTGTCTCTCTGCTACTTTTTACTCTGATGTATAATAATGGCTTTTATTTCCATATTTTTTTAGAGGTGTGCGAATAGTTCGAATTCGAATCGAATCACAGTGGATTCGATTCGAATCTTACAGATTCGAAATCGAATAGTTCGAGAATTTCAAATCAACAATGGTTCGATTTCGAATCGATCGCCTATTTTATTTGCTTCATTTATATCTCCCGCGCGATCAATTATTCTTATCTAATAAATAAGTATTTTTGATGTATGTAATGTATTCATGTAGAGATTAATATAGAAAATAATATATCCTTTATAATGAGATGTAGATCGAAAACAGGTCTTCAGCTTGTTCAAATCATTGCGTAAAATAATGTAATTCATAAATTTTCATATTTATTACGTTTAAATTAACATGTAATGTAAATCTGGACAAATTTGATTCAGATTTGTATTCGAATTAAAGAGATTCGATTCAAAATGAAAATTTCAGATTCGATTCGATTCGACCATGCAAATGCTTGATTCGCACACCTCTAATTTTTTTTAATTTTATTTTTATTTTTACATTTCAAGCAGATTTCAAACGAACTTTATTTGTGAATTTTATAAAAATGTAATTTTTTTAAAATTGCATTCTGCGGTCTTAAGCGACAGCCGACACGTGTCTACGATGAATGCATTGCGAAAAATATTTAGTACTGTATCCTTTTCTGTGCGATATCAAGTACAAATTGTATAAGTAAACTTTACTTCTTCGACTCTTTTAAAATATTAACTTAAAGTTCGAAACATTGGGAGAGTGTTAACGATTTTACTTTTGTCTTCACGAATCTTGTCGAAAAAAGTTTCCGCCGACTGTCTGGGTAGGGTAGCTTCCAGCTTGGATATTTATGCCCGTCCAGTAATTGGGGAGAAATTGTGTTTTTAACAATTTACATCGGCAAAACAAAGGAATGCTAGGTTGAGAAATCCTCTTTCATACCTCAGTGCAATTCGCTTAAAAGAATCCGTGCTCTTTGCATCTTGATTGTTCTTTGAATTCTGGCACCATTGTTAAATTCTTACGATACGAGAATGTCTTTGAGAAACATCGCAAAGTACGCGGGGCATTGCGAAATATTATTCAAGCCGCAAAACTTTGTTTGGGGAACTTAGGCCTGTGTTTTGTAATCGCGTTTCTGCCGAAGAAGAACCGACGGAACTCAGTTAAAACTGCAGTTTTGAGAAGTAATACGGTTCAAAGGATGGATGTTGAGAGTCAATTCGATATTTTGTGACGTCAAACTTGAAATTATATATTTATCTTATTCTGTTTTTTGTATTTTTATTTCTGAATTATATGGGATTGTAAATACGAATCTTAAAGTAAAAATACGTAGTCTTATTCTATTTTAGCCTAAAAAATATATTTTTCTCTTCTCAATCAACGTTATACTAATCTCAAACCAATAATGAATTATCTGGAAAGTTTGTTATGCGAAAAGTTGGTGGAATCTTCTTGTATTCTATTTAAATTAGTATTATACACACCCACCCACCCACATACAACTTAAATCAGTAGTTTAAAAGAACCGAAGCTGCGCAAAAAATTTTCATTAAACTGTTGCCAAAAACTTCTAAAATAAGCAAGAACCTTACGCGAAATAAGAAATATCTCACGAGATACAGCTACATCCTGAGCTTCGAAATAAATACTTTTTGTTTCTTTTTACATATTTCCCAACTTCGTGCTACCGAGATACCATGAAGATCACATACCGTTCCCTTCACTGAGAACATTAAACATTGTTTCCATTATAACGTATCGCATTTTCTAGCGCTACAAAGGAACTCCTTCAAACAACGGTCGCGAATTAATCCCTTGTGCGCGGAAACTTACGCGGAACATAGAGGACAGTTTCGTATTCGGGTATGCGGTGCTTCGCGAGCTCGTGAGCCAAAAGCGGATGCGCGCTCGATGCAGCAGCAGTAAAGGGTCTTACAGTTGAATCAAAATCATCCAACTATTCACATTGTACACAAGGCACTCCGACGATTAGTGATATTCGCCGTGGAACGGAACTGGAAACATCGGTATTCCGATCTCTACTTTATTCGAAGTAAATTGACGGACGAACGATGCAAACTGCGCCGTGAATCGATCGCGAAGCATCCACGCAATTGTCTGGTTAATTGGAAAAAAAAAGAGTTCGAGAGAGAGCGCGCGGAGTCGAGTTCCGTTTCATTTCTCGCTCGCCGAGACTTATGGCAACAATTTTCCCGCGCGCGCGAAAACTTTTTCCATTAATTCGATGCCAGCGATGGCACACAACTTCATCGGTCAAGAGCTAGGCGCGATTTCAACCGTCGGATTAATAGAAACCTCGATTTTCAACTAAAACTCCCTCAAGGTCGTGCATTATGGACGAGAACTGGAATTGAATTCTTGGAAATTTTTTGCTCTTAACAAAGATTGCAGACGCCGTATCTATGTATCGTCCTTCGGTCGTAACGGAAACAGTAAATTACACGGTATCGTTACGGGAAAAAGAATTTCATTTAACGCGTTAATAATGCGGGCCTTCATTTTCATAAAGACATGGGTTTAAAAATGCGTTTTTTTTTTCATTAACGCTGTATACA